GGCCGGCGGCGGCGCCGCGCGGGGGAAGCGGCGGATCCCGCGTCTGCACCCGAAACACGCTTGCGTGGGGGGGTAACGTCTGTGCAAAGCAGGCAAGGGGCTGCTGGGCCCTGAAAGAGCTTCCGCGTGGGTTTCCAGTGAGTTCTGTGCAGTGTTTTTCCTTGCAGGAGCATCAGGAGGCAGACTGAAGGTGTCTTTGATGAGAGAACTTTTGAGGTGTGCGTCGGTGCTCCTGGACACAGTAAAAGTGGTCTCCGGTCGCTAAAGAAACACAAATAAGAGCTATGAGCATCAGTGTTTCTCTCAGATTCCGCCCCCCCCCGCCCCAGCAATAAATAACCACAAACTGTTTTATCTCCCTATGCTCGGGGAAAAAAAAAAAAAAAAAAAGAACTTGTGAACTGTGGATTACGCAGGGAAAACATCCGGCAGTGGCCGGAGTAAACAGGAAATGCGGCGCCTGCGGGGTTTCACACCGGTTTGGTGGCCCTTGCGTGGGCGGTTGCGCCAGCAACAGGGCACTGGGGCCACATGCTCTGCATGTCACAGGGAAACTGCCTTCATATCAGCTTTATAAGGTTCAGCCACCAATTGTGCAGAAAATCTCGCTGTCAAGAACTGAATGTACAAAAAGGAGACAGAGGAGTCCTAAAACTTTACTCGAATAAAGGGAGAGTCCACCGGCCATATCCCTGTGGGGTCTCTCAAATTGCTGAAGGAGGCAGCCTCCCTTTTATCCTAATTTCCCGACCGAGGGACTGTAGGACCCTGTACAAAGAGAGGTTATATAAGAAGTTAATAAAGTTGAGGTGACTAGGTACCTAATTTCGCTATTTGCTTCTGTGAACATAGCTTGCTACTTATGCTGAGTCACCATGCTCTTGCTTTTCGCTATCTGCTTCTGCTTGCTGCTCATGCTGGGCCCCCCGCCCCGGCTCTTGCTGCAACCATGAGATAAGATACCAGCCGTGAAGAACTGGTAACTGCGAATAACATATGAGAAGCATTACAGACTCTGCATAGGTTATTAACTAACAGCCTGCGTTCAGTAGGTCTAGTACCCATGGGTAGTCTTCATATCCTCCTGGACTCCCACAGACCCAGCAACCCAGATATATCACTTATCTCCACCTCCTTCCCAGGTTGGGTGTTAGCAGGACAGGGAATCCCAAACATTATTTCAAAGGGGGACAGCTGCATCTCTCCCCTCGGTTTTGCTCTTATTCTTGCTAAAGCTAATGGGAGAAGTCGTGTCCATGGGATCTTAGTTTCTAACACCCTTTTCAAAAGATGCTTTTTAATGTTCCCATTCATCCTTTCCACTCTACCAGAACTCTGAGGATCCCAAGGGGTATGCAAGTCCCATTGAATCCCTAGGGCAGTCATGACACCTTGAAGGACCTTTCCTGTAAAATGAGTGCCTCTGTCTGAATCTATTGCCTCTACCAACCCATATCTTGGAATTATTTGTTCTAAGAACACCTTAATTACAGATCCAGTTGTTGCTGAGGCAGTTGGAAATGCCTCAGGCCATCCCATCAACTGACATACTATTACCAGAAGTTACTTAAGTCTCCCTACGCAGGGCATCTTCGTAAAGTCTGCTTGGCATCGTTGGAATGGGCCTACAGCCCAGGGTTGTCCTTCACTTGCAACTTCTCTTGCGGCTCAGCTGCTGGCCTTAGCACAAATAACAAAAAGACCAAGGGCAGCAGAGGTTTTAAGGAAGGCTTCCGCCAGCCCTCTAGAGCCCCAATGGCTTCCTTCATGAAGCTCTTTCAATATTTCTGCAAGGCTTCTCCAAATAAGACCGGTGCTTCAGTGTATCCTTGCGGAAGAACTGTCCATATCAATTGTTGTTTTATTGCTTTTCCTCCCTCCTCTTGTTCCCATTCAAAGGCAAAATATTTCTTACTATCCTCTGTGAGAGGACATCCCCAAAATGCGTCTTTCAAATCAAGTACTGAATAGTACTGATGTGAAGAGGGGATCTGGTTTAGAACAGTGTATGGATCTGGAACTGTGGGATGTCTTGGTTTGATAATTTCATTTATTGCTCTTAAGTCCTGTACCATTCTATAGGTTCCATCTGGCTTCTTGACTGGCAGAATGGGAGTATTGTATGGAGACATACACGGCTCCAAAAGTCCTGCTTCCAGCAAAGACTCAATAGTAGGTTGTAAGCCTTTCCTTCCCTCTCGTGAAATAGGATACTGCTTTTTAGAGACTATCTGCCCTGGTTGCTTTAAAGTAATTTGGAGAGGTTCCATGTCTAGTTTTCCATATTTTCCTGGAACTGCCCACACTTCTGAGTTCACTTCAGCATAAGCTTTGTCAGACATTTTGCACAAAGTTACAGTAGTGCAAGCTTCTTTATCATCTCTTACAATACTGATTTGCATTCCCAATTTAGCCATCAAATCCCTCCCCAGCAGATTGCAATCACAATTTGGGACAAAGAGAAAATCATGCATCTCAAATTTATTTCCCACATCCACTACCAGTGGCTGGATAATACGCACTCGTTCGTCTTTCCCACTTACCCCTTGGATAACCAAGGAGCCTTTTGACAATCGCCCTCCTTTTGGCATAAAATTCAAGGTGGATCGAGAGGCTCCTGTATCTATCAAGAAACACACTTCCTCTCGATGAGACCCTTCTCAGTATCACTGAGATACTGGCACAAAACCTGACAAAGACTAGGATCGTCGTCC